TGTGAATGAATCCTCTGCCTTGGCTAAATCCGTACCAGTGGTAGGAATTGCTACTCAGGATGGGGTAATCACACTCATCCCAGAAAGCACTCAGAATGTTGTAACCATTATCCCAGGTATCTATACTGTTTACAAATGAATGCTTATGTGTTGATTGATTCTGAATTAGTACGTTTGTACGTCTTCGCTTGGGATATCATTTGATTCGGATCGGCATATATTTCATATATGCTGCATGTGTATAAAATGCGGCTTTGAAGATGGATGTGATTGATAATTCATGGCTTTGGCATAGAGGATTTGGGCACTTGAATTTTCAAAGCTTGAAGCATCTACAACAAAACAATATGGTTTTCGGGTTGCCAACCATTCATGAAGTGCAACATATTTGTGAAGGTTGTGCACTTAGAAAGCATCACCGGGAGTCATTTCCAAAGGAGAAAGCATGGAGAGCTAAAGCACCATTGGAGCTTGTCCATACCGATAAATACTTCATTATCTTTGTTGATGATTTTACTAGATTGACTTGGGTGTATTTCATGAGACAAAAGAGTGAAGTTTTCTCTATCTTCAAGAAATTTCAAAATCTTGTTGAAAGACAAAGTGGTTGTTTGATGAAAGTATTAAGAAGTGATAAAGGTGGAGAATACAACTCAAATGAGTTTATGAAATTTTGTGAATATATTGGAATGGAAAGGCAATTGACTGTTGGGTACACTCCACAACAAAATGGTGTGGTGGAAAGAAAGAATAGAACCATAGAGGAGATGTCCAAGTTTATGCTACATGAGAAGGGGCTACCCAAAACTTTTTGGGGTGAGGCCGTATATACAATAGTTTACTTGATGAATAGATGTCCTACAAAAGCTCTTAAGGACAAAACTCCATTTGAAGCTTGGAGTGGAAGGAAATCATCGGTGAATCACTTGAAGGTGTTTGGTTGCATTTGTTATGCTCATGTTCCAAAAGAAGTAAGGCACAAGCTTGATGAAAATAGTAAGAAATGCATCTTTGTGGGTTATAGCTCAAAATCCAAAGGCTATAGACTCTTTAGTTTGGGTCAAAAGAAGGTGATTATTTGTAGAGATGTTCTCTTTGATGAGAAGATGTCTTTTGATTGGAAGAAAAAGAAAGTCCAAGATCAAAGCATTGCTTTCAATGAAGAATCGGAAAGTCTATAAGTTGAAGATGTTTTAACTCTTGAATCTCCACAAAGAGTGTCACCAATTGCTAGTTCACAATTTTCTCCAAATTCAAGTTTAAGTTCAAGTTCCTCATCTCCAAGTTCAACTCCAAGAAATATAAGGAGTCTTAGTGATGAGTATGCATGATGCAATTTATGCATTGTTGAACCTAAAAATTTTGAAGAGGCAATTAAAGATGAAGCATGAAAGAAAGCAATGGAAGATGAAATTCATGTGATTGTGAAGAACAAGACTTGGGAGTTAGTGGAGAAACCGAAAAAAAAGAAATAATTGGTGTGAAGTGGATTTTCAAAACAAAGTTCAATCCGAATGGCTTTATTCAAAAGAACAAAGCAAGACTTGTGGAAAAGGGTGTTCACAACAACCTGGAATTGATTTCCAAGAAACTTTTGCTCCTATGGCTCGACTTGATACAATTAGAGCTATCATTGCTTTGGCGGCTCAAAAGGGTTGGTTCTTGCACCAACTTGATGTAAAGTCAGCATTTTTGAATGGGAAATTAGAAGAAGAAGTGTATGTTGATCAACCTTAAGGCTTTGTTGTCAAAGGCAAAGAAGATAAAGTGTACAAGTTGAAGAAGACTTTATATGGCCTAAAGCAAGCACCCCGGGCATGGTATAATGAAATTGATGCTTACTTCAATGAAAAGGGTTTTCAAAGAAGCAAAAGTGAGCCAACTTTGTACATCAAGAGGCAAGGTACAACCGGTATTCTCATTGTTTCACTTTATGTTGATGATTTGGTTTTTACCGGTAGTGATGAAAAATTGATTGAAGATTTTAAAAGGGAGATGATGAAGAAATATGAAATGAGTGATTTGGGACTATTGCATCATTTTTTAGGCATTGAAATCTACCAAAACAATGGTGGTGTTTTTATTTGCCAAAAGAAGTATGCTTAAATACTTCTTGAGAAATTCCAAATGAAGAATTGCAAATCAGTTGCTACTCCCTTGATTGTGAATAAAAAGTTGTCAAAGGAAGATGGAAGAAAAGAAGTTGAAGCATTTTGTTATAGAAGTTTGGTTGGAAGTTTGTTGTACTTAACTGCTACAAGACCGGACATCATGTATGCTACAAGTTTATTGTCTCAGTTCATGCACAGTCTAAGCCAAATTCATTTTGGGGTTGCAAAAATAATGTTGAGATACATTCAAGGTACACTTGATTATGGAATTTTTTATGAGAAATTTCTTGATGCAAAGTTACTTGGATTTTGTGATAGTGATTGGGGCGGATGTGTTGATGATATGAAAAGCACTTCTGGGTATGCATTTTCTCTTAGATCGAGCATAATTTCATGGTCATCCAAGAAACAACAAACTGTGGCACAATCATCTGCTGAAACCGAATATATTTCAGCATCATTGGCAAACTACACAAGCAATTTGGCTAAGAAGAATTTTGGATGATTTTGGTGAGAAGCAAGGTGAAGCTACTCCAATTATGTGTGATAATAAGTCTGCTATTGCTATGGCAAAGAATCCCGTCTACCATTCTCGTACCAAAAACATTGCTATCAAACATCATTTCATTAGAGAAGCTGTGGAAGATGATGAGATTCAAATCAAGTATTGCAAGACTAAAGACCAAGTTGTGGACATCTTCACCAAAGCTCTACCAAGGGACAAATTTGAATTTTTTTAGAGAAATGTTGGGTGTCACACAATATGGCATTAAGGGGGAGTGTTAAAATTAATGCCATATTTACATTAGATACATTGGATATATTGCATGCATTGGATACATTGAGTTCATACATTCTTTGTATTCATGTCTTTTATATTTATTAAGTACATTGTCTAGATTATATTCATGTACCTAATTAATTATAAGGTTGTTTAGGTTCATGGATCTTATTCATTGAACTTATATATAACCTTCTCTATAAAAAATGATATAAGCCTAGGGGCAAAGGATATGAATAATAAGAGAGAAAAATTCAATACAAAATAATAGTTCATTCTAGAGAGAGTTTTATCAAAAGCTAACAGTTGTGATGATCATCTGCACATCCAAAATGAATGTTGGAAATGTTGTTTGGCAGTGGCTGGACGGTGGTGGCGATGGCGGCGGAAGGCAGTGGAACGGTGATGGTCGATGGCTCTCTTTGTGGCTGAGGAAGGAGATGAATGGGAGAGTAAAATGTCTATTTTGCCCTTAGAAACCAATCAAATGCCATTCATCTCTGAATTTTCTCTCTAATTTCTTAACCTCTATATTTTTAATTGGACTAAAATTATACAAAATCAAAATATAGGATTAAAATTATAATGACTAAAATTACAGAAAAAACAAATTAGATACTACTAGCGTAATCATATATATATATATTATTAAAAGTATCAGTATGTTTGGTTTGAGTTTTTTGGATTAAGTTTTTTGAAAATTAAATTTTTTGATTTTCGTGTTTTTTTTTAGTGAATATTTTTAAAATTTTAAACATTTTTTTTACTTTTTTAGATGCACCTTACTTAGATGTATCTAAAAAGTAAAAAAATTGTGAAAAAATATTTTTAAAAATTAATAAATACATGAAAATACAAAAAATGTGTTGAATTCTCGTTTTTTTTTTTTTTATATTTTTGGTATTTATTGAATTTTTAAAAGGTTTTTTGCACAAATTTTTTACTTTTTAGATATATTCATGTTAGATATGTCTAAAAAGTAAAAAAAACTGCTTAAAATATTAAAAAAAATTTAGTAAAAACAAAGGAAAATAAAAAAATAGAATTTTCTGAAACGTGTATTTTCAAAAGTGTAACCAAGAGAGTAGAATTTTTTGAAAAGTGTTTTTTCATATCCTTAGGTGGCCCATTATAAGATTTATTTATTTTGTTTTATTTTATTTTATTCTAAAAGAACCGCATCAATATGTATTTTTTTAATTATATATAGAGTTCTACACAAATTCAAGCCTAATTTAAATTATATTAATTTTACCTATTTTATATGGACTTTATTTGAAAAATATTTCTTTTCTATATATTTTTCATGATAAATTGAGATAATTCACAAATTCAATACCAATTTTGCGTTTTACGTTTTTCTTCTTAATTTTTTTAAAGGTGTTAGGATTTTTTTAATGCTAAATTACCTTCTTTTTTTCTTTTTTATTTTTTTGGTGCATTATTCTATATCCAATACCAATTACATATTATTTTATATTATGGATTTATCGTTTAAATTTAATTGTGATTCTATATATGAAATTATACTACATGTCTTACATTATTTTATATAATCACAATTTACAGGAAGAAAAACTTGCGCAACAATGATACTTTCGAGGAACCTCAAAAGTTTGGATTTACTGCTTGAGTTACTTTTGCAATTGTTGAACAGTAAGTTCCTTTATATTTTAGCATTGTATTATAGATAATTAATCACTTTACACACTAAGATGTATCTATGTTTCAAATGTTTTCATTATTTTTTCTTTTTGGATTTAGATGTTATTATGTGATTCTTTCTTGGTTAGTCGTTGAATTTTTTTAATATAGTCGATATTTTAATTTAATTAAGAGTGTTTATTTTACAATATTATAATTTAATATGTATATATATATATATATCATATAAAATCATTATATGACAATTCAACTACAACATATTTATATTTCATTTTTTTAATAAATTTTATATAATTTTTATTTGTACATATTTTTATTTTCCAAATGAATATACAAGAAAATTAAATAGTTAGAATTATTTTTAATTTATATTACTAATTCTTCTTCTAATTTAACTATTATTTTTAATGTTAAAATGAGTAATTATTTTAGGAAAAATTGGTCTAAGATCCTATGGGGGCCGAATATTGGGACTCATGGAGAGGCCTAACATTCAGACCTGAGTCGAAGCATATATTTCATTCGACCTCGTCCCGCAGTTTAAATCCTGCCCTATTCGGCCGTATAGCCGATTGAGTATGGGGCTGAATGAGAAACGATTTGCTGCGAACCAAGCCGAATAGACAATTATCCAGAAAATTGACAGTGGGCTCATTCCTGAGGCCCAAGAAGGAGAGTAATATAAATACAAGATCATCAGTCAGAGGAAGGTATGTGAGAATTACTATGCTTAACTTATAATACAAGTAATCCTGAGTGTAGAGACTGACTTGCCCGCAGAGTGCTAATTCCCGCACCCTCGACCGGAGTGTTTATTCATTTTCAGGTGACTAGTAGAGGATCACGAGCGTCCCCCAAGACCAGAAGAGTATTTCCAAACCACTTCTCCACAATTGGCGCCGTCTGTGGGAATACTCAAACACATCCATGGCGGGCGTAACGGAAGACCCTCCGATAGTCACTGATGAAACCATGCAGAGAGACGACCTCACTACAACAAACATGCTTGGACCGGAGACTATCCCCGCAAGACGCGCTTTGAACTTCGCTTCACCCTCGACTTTAGAGCATGAGGCGATGCAAGCAATCATCGAACAAGCAAAGCAAAACGAACAGAGGTTGGAGAACATGATCGCTGAGAACGAACGTCTCTGTCAGGATTTGGCCTTGGAAGTGGCGAAGTCCAAACAAGCTGTACGCTAAGATCCGGAACAACCTGTAAGGATAGGTGGTCGACGATCTCGAGCCCGACAACAAGACACTGATAGAGACTCCGACTCATTATCCCCGGAGCCTAAGAAGAAGGGACGATCTGAAACTTTCAGTTCCTCTGAAGAGAGTCCACGTATAAGGTATGAATGCAGAAGAAACAGCTCAGATGAAGAAGACCAGCATGATCCCTTTGTACGACGGATCGCCAGGGCGGTTTTGCCTAAAAAGTTCAAAGCTCCGTCGTTCACTCTCTATGATGGAAAATCAGACTCCACTGATCACATCCGTCACTACAAGCAAGCCATGACATTGTATGCAGACGACGAGGCCTTTATGTGCCGAATATTTCGCAGCAGTTTGGGACCATTGGCTGTCAGGTGGTATTATAAACTGGAGCCGGCTTCGATCAAAAGCTTCCATCAATTACAGAAATCCTTCAGGGCCAGATTCATCACCAACGAGGTCCAGCCGAAACAAGCCGACTCTCTCTGGGCAATGCAGATCCAGCCAGGAGAATCACTAAGAGCGTATTCGGCGCGCTATTAGGAGTGCTTTAATCTTGTTGATGACGCTTGCAACGACTTTGTGGCCATCACCGCCTTCAAAATGGGTTTGCATCCTGACAGTGCTCCCCGCAGTTCTTTGACTAGAAGACCCCCCAAGACGGTCTGGTCATTGTTGAAGAAAGTCGAAGAATACTACAAAGTGGAAAATGATGCTTTGCGGGTTAAAACCGGAACACGGCCAACAAGACAGCTCATGAAATTGCTCAGCCAATAAATTCTGTACCACCTCAAAGCCCTGAACCACGGCATCGGGCCAAACGGGACAAGAGACGGGATTCCCGCCGATCAAGCGACCAATGCTCCCACCGAGAAAATGAACAACTGTGAGTTGACAGTAGGAGCACGAGGCACGCCGATAAGAAATATACGGAGTTGACAGAGCCGATCTGTGCGATTATGTCTAAAATCCAACACCTTCCGTTCTTCAAATGGCCGTCGAAAATGGTGGGACCTCCCGACACGAGAAGACGGGATAGACGGTGTGAGTATCACAAGAACCATGGCCATGATACTGAGAGTTGTTATGCACTGAAGGATCACCTGGAGGAATTGGAACAAGATGGAAGGTTACAACAGTACGTCCGAAAAGGCAACCCAACCAAGGCAATAGCTTTAAGATAGGACTCACCTCCGCTCGGCGTGATCCACATGATATACAGCCTGCCAATGTCATCGGTGGTGCATACGATTCAATCGAACTCCGACCCACAAAATCAACTCACTCCGGCTAAACGGCCCTATGAAGCCGCGGGCATTACTTTTGATGATTCAGATTTGGCCAGAGTAACATTGCCCTACATTGATCCCTTGGTAATTGAGTTACGCGTAACCGATTCACAGTTGAGCGCGTACTCATTGATCCGGGGAGCACATCGGAGGTTATGTACTATAAGACATTTATCAAACTCAGCTTCTCCAAATCAGATCTCTCTTCGGCCCCTTATCCACTATTCGGCTTCAACGCCAATCTAGAGTACCTGTTGGGGAAAATCACACTACCCGTTCGAGCAGGCTCCCGAACAGTGGATGTGGAATTCTTGGTCGTCAAGCTGTCGTCGCCGTATAATCTCATCATGGGGCGATCTTGGTTGCATATTATGCAGGCCGTGCCAAACACCTATCATCAGCTGCTACGCTTCCCGACAGAACGCGGTATTGAGCAAATCCGTGGCTCCCAGAAATCGGTACAAACATGTTATCTCCTTGCTGAAAAAACGCCAAAGGAGCTATAGGTGAATTCTATTAAGGTGCCAGATCGAGATAGCCTCGACGATGTTGGGT